TTGTTCGGAGATGGGTTTTATCTCGTTAACGGAGCCGACACAGAGAAACCGGAAAACCTTTTGGCAGTTCGCGAACCGGAACTACTTCCGCATAGTCCTCAACTCTCGCGTGTTTTGCAAAGGCGGCGGCATCATCTCACACGCGTTTCCCCACCTCCTCGCACAATGGTGGTAGAGTGTAGGATAATTTAATTGAATACGTACAACACACACACATATGGGAGTGTATAAACGCCGACAGCAAACTAGGGTAAGATAAGGAAAAAGAGGAGTATATATCTACTTAACTTTTGGCCGGATGCCGACGCGTAATGAAGTTTAACTCCGAGCCGTCTGATTTCTAAACTTTTAGCGGTCGGTGGGATAGTGACATCGACTCTGCTTTGTAATAATGTAATATTATATTAAAATATACTGTTTAAGGACTAAGAAGTTARAAATGCTGTYATAAGAAACCAATAAAATGTACGAAAATAATTTTTTAGTAGAAATTAAATGACTCTTTTATACATTTTTTTAGAATGATAATTTGAATTTGTGTCTATCCAAATATTTACCTTGTTGAAACTATGTATTTTATTTTTATGACCAGTATATACTGAATAATTCATCTATCATAACGTATCAAACAAATAATCATTATAGTGAATAAATCAATTTAAATATAATGGTAGTAATTGAATTAAAGTTGATTCGAATACAGATTTCTTCCMATGGTGATCAGGTGACGATAGAATTCGAGTATATTGATGATCAACAACATCAAATTAATATGAGATATGATACATACACTTCAAGCCAGATCAACATTTGATACAATTTATGAAATCTGTATAACATAAGTCTATGTTTTATGATATAATACAATCATAAAGAGACTCGGGGAATGCTGGACTATTAAGCAACAAACAGTACAAACATCAGACATAATTATAAAAACTGCAGGTGGGTTATTATTTTATACTATACTATTTACAATAAAAAATATTTTTTATTTATAATATAAGTAAATGCGTTATTAATATAGATAATTGAGACTATTGAGAGTCGTGTATCTTATTAGATTTAATTAATTATTTTAATACA